TTTCAGTTATTGTATGTTGCTTAACAGAAACTAGCCAGTGGCATAGGCAAAAACTCCCTTGTGTACGTGATAATCAGTTTGAGCATTAATAATAATAATAGTTAAATTAATAATAGTTAAATTAAGAATCTAATAAAATATTCCTAAATACTTCTGTAGGTGCTACTACGTCATATTTTTAGCCGTTTAATTTCAAATCTTCCTGTTGTAGAATTTTCAGTTAGGTGATAATACTATATGTGTTTGAAGTATCAACAATGTTCTCAGTTTTAATTATAGAAGAGTCTATAATAATTCTTGTAAACATTTTCAGCTCCTAATTCAGCAACACAAAGTCCTGAGAAGCATATTAAATTATATAAATAAATAGATTATATTAAATAATTAGCTGTAGAGAACCTAGCATCTACTTTTACTAGGATAAAGGCAACTTAGATTCTCACTATTAAAATACTTCTTGTGATAAAACATAATGGGGAATTTTTCCAATCATAAAAGAAAAAATGCTGAAGGTAAACATGCTCTTTCATAAAATAGAAGAGAAGGGAATTCTGCATAATTCATTCTACAAGACCAGCATTATTCTGATATCAAAACCAGAAAAAAGACATAAAAAAGAAACAAAACCTACAGACTGTTCCCCATGAACACAGATGCAAAAATAATGAGCAAAACTTTAGCAGTCAAATTCAACAACACATGGAAAAGATAATGCATCATGACAAAGTGGGGTTTGTTCTAGGGATAGAAAGTAGGGTTAACATTTGAAAATAAAATAATATAGTGTAGCACACTAACAGACTATAAAATATCTACACCTTACACTCACCCCCCCCATCCTGACACACACACATGCCAGGCACATTGGCACATACCTGTAGTCCCAGCTATTTGGGAGGGAGGTTAATGTAGGATAATCACTTCAGCCCGTAAGTTCAAGGCTGGCCTAGGCAATATAAGAAGACCCCATCTCAAAAAATAAATGAATAAATAAATGATTTATTTATGTATATTGCTTGACATGGTGGTGCATGCTGTAATCCCAGTGGTTCAGGACACTGAAGCAGGAGGATCTCAAGTCAAAGCTAGCCTCAACAATTTAGCGAGGCCCTAAGAAACTTAGAGAGACCCTGTGTCAAAATAAAAAAATTTAAAAGACAGGGTTGGGGATGCGACTCAGTGGTTAAACAATCCTTAGCACCAAAGAAACAAATATATATAGTATAAATATATAAATATATTAAATGTAAATTTTATATATAATATTATATATATTATATAGGTAATTAGGTGACATTTATTCACCAATAAAATTATATATATAATTTATATATATATAAAACAATATTTTACATATATATATATATATATATAATTTTCTTGGTGAGTAAATGTCACATAATTACCTATATAATCAATTCTATGAAAGCGTTAAAAACTACTAAAGCTAACAAATGAGTTTTAGCAAGATTTCAATATGTAAAATCAGCATACAAACATAATTATATTTCTAGAAAGTTATAATAAATTAGAAATTGAACAAATACAATGGCATCAAAATATGAAATGGGATAAAGATGTTAAAAATATATATATTGAAAACTATAAAATGTTGCTGAAGAAAGAAAAAACGTAAGTAGAAAAAATACATGGCTAATAGATCAGGTTACTCAAGATTTGTAAGATGTCAATTCTCAAATTAATAGTTCAATGCAATCTTAAACAAAATTATAGCAGACTATAAATCAAAAATTGACAAACTGATCCTAAATTACATATTAATACAAAGTAACATCAAAATGAAACAACTCTCTGATTTCAAGATTTATTATGCAGCTACAGTACTCAGCACATGTGGTACCAGTGCAAAGGTAGCCAAGTGGATGAATGGAACTGAGTCTAAACAGACCTATACACATAGGATCAGTGGCAATATGACAAAGATGCAAAGCTAATTTGATGGAGAAAGAACAGTCTTTTAACAAATAGTAATGCAACAGTGCATCTATACATACAAGGGGGTGGATTTCATCCTACACCTTGCACTATTTTAAAAAAATTATCTTAATACAAGCCATAGTCTGAATGTAAAATCTAAAATTAAAAAATTTCTAGAGGAAAATCAAGAGAAATTCTTTGAGACTTTGGATTAGGAAAGATTTCTTAGATAAAACACTAAAAGTCTAATCCATAGAGAAAAAAATCTGCCAGGTGAACATCACCAAAATCAAAAACTTTTGCTCTTTGAATGACACTATTAAGAGAATGAAAAGGCAAGCCATAAACTGGAAGAAGATATTTGTAAATTTCAATATCTAATGATCGACTTGTCACAACAGAGTATAAAGCTTTCAAAACTAAGAAAATAAACAACCACATTTTAAAAATGAGCAAAGAGTTTGAAGAAACAATTCACCAAAGAAGGAATGCAAATGGCTAAAGGCACATAAAAAATGTTTGATATCCCAAGTTATTAAAGAAGTGAAAATTACACTTCTATTAGAATATTGGGCTGGGGTTGTACCTCAGTGGTAGAGTGCTTGCCCAGCATGTGTGAAGCACTGGGTTTGATTCTCAGCATCACATATAAATAAATAAGTAAAGGTCCATTGACAACTAAAAAAACATTTAAAAAAAAGAAAGGATATCCAAAACAAACACAAATCACACCAAGTGGTTCCAAGTATGTAAAGCAACTGAAGTCGATATGCTGTTGAGAGGTAAAATGGCATCATCACTTTACAAAATCGCTCCACAATATTTTTTTAATTAACTATATACTTATTACCAAACATTAGCTTTACTATATAACCAAGAAATAAGAATCGCGTTTATTGAAAGACTTTTATAACAAATGTTTATCACAGTTTTATTTGTAGCAGTCGAAAATTAGAAGTAACCTACACTTACAAAACAGATAAATGGATGAATTGTTGTCTATCCACTACTTGGCAATACACTTGATACAAACAACAGCTTGGTGAATAGGGGTAACCAGATAAAATTGTGTGATTCACTTCTTACAAAACTCTAGGAAATGCATATTATAATGATAAAAAGAAAAGTGTTTGCTGGAAGATAGGAGTATGGTGGGGTGAGAGATGGAGGGATTACCAAAGAGTAGGAGAAAGTTTTTAAAGGTGATGGATATCTATCTTTCTTGTCTTGGTGGTCATGATTTTACCAGTCAAAGCTTATCAAATTATATACTTAAAATATGTGAAAAGTACCTAAATTGTATCAAAACAAAGATGTTAAGAAAGCTCCTGTCTCTTATACACGCACGCACATACATACACACACACTCACAATCTATCCTTTTAAGTTGAATCAAATTTAAATACCAGTTCTAGCCAAGACTCACTTATTAGGAAACATTAGGAAAACCGTCACTTGCCTAGAATTCTGGCCACTGAGTTCTCTTTTAAGAACTACACTATAGGCTGTGGGATGGAATGAACAAAGTTCCACAAAGAACTGGGATCCTGAGTCCTCAGTAATAAGAAAGTTTAGGGTTCCCTTGTGACAGACTACTGTGTCTTCACCAAAAATTTTCCTTCTTTTGAGATTTGATAGTATATGATTACAAAAAAAAAAAAAAGAAAAAAGAAAAAGAAAGAAAACCCTTCTTTCTGTTAGGTATGGCCACATGACTATTTTTAGCAATAAAAAATGAGCAGAAATTATGATTCCCATATATGAACTAGGCATTTAAAAAGCAAGTTGTCGCCTTGAATTTTTTAATTATTTATTTATTTTAGTTTTCAGTGGACACATCTTTGTTTATATGTGGTGCTGAGGATCGAACTCCGGGCCTCAGGCATGCCAGGGCACACTATGGCTTGAGCCACATCCCCAGCCCCACCTCCTTGAATTTTATTAACCCTTCCACCATATTGATGCTAACAATATGGTCCTTGGGTATGATTGAGCCACAGGATGAAAGAAATCCTACATGGTCCATAAATTCCACATGGAACAATGACATTCACCACTAGTTAACACTCATGTTAGAATTCTTATATGAGCAAGAAATAAATTTCTTCAGTATTTCATCCATTATACATAAATAAAATTTTATTTTTAGAGTACATTATCCTACTCTAACACACCAAAAATTGCAAAGGTCAGGAAAACCTCTTCCCCCTCGCATACAGGGAAGGATCAATGTTGCCAACTTACCCTAATGATTTTCCCTAAGTCTATTTGGGCAAATCTTCCCCAGAATCTCAGGTAGTACTTCTATTTTTATAATTATTTAAGGTCATTGACTGATCTCTTTTGGTTCTCCACGTGAATTTAAGTTTTACTATGTAGGTAGAGCAGAGCCGGTCAATCCTTTTATCTTGGAGCTTTGCATGGGAAAATAAGTGGGAAGGCAACAATTACTGAGGGAGATTTCTCCCTAAACTTCCACCAGCCCCTTGGGCGCTGGTCTTCCCACTCTTATCTCCTTCCTATTTCTTCCAATTGACATGCAGATCAGGATGAGGAGTATCTATCTGGTCTCTGACCTTCCACAGATTTATCTCCCAAATGAAACTATACACTAGAACCAACTAGTACAAGCAGATTCTTCTTATCCCAGACATCAGAGTTGGTCCTGAGGGTGAATTAGTATTTTCTCAATCCATGAAGGAGCTCCAAGTGCCCAACAGACCTAAGGCTAAGGACAGGGGCCAAATGCAGTAGTTACATATTCTCTTGCCTTACTATCATCTTTTAAAAGTTGACTTTTGGGATATATTGAGAATTTCTTTCCTCTGCCATTACCCTTTATAAAAATTCCTTTGTGTGTGTTGGGGTGAGGGGTCGTTGTCAAAATGTGTCTCTTTAATGAACATTTGTACCCTGGTCCATAGGCTGTTACACCAGGGCTCCCTTTGGGATAGAAATTTGATCACAGAGTCCTATCCAGAGCTGTCCAGTAGGAATATGATGTCAGCCAAATATATAATTTTACATTTTTTAGTTATCAACATTAAAAAAGGAAAATGAAACAGATGAATAATAAATTTTATTTAACATAATGTATCCAAAATATAATCACTGCAATATACAATATAAAGGTTTATAGTGAGATATTTTACATTATTTTTAGTCAAAAATCTAGTATGCATTTTACACTTACAGCATGTTTCAGTCCAGACTGTTCACATGCAAGGTGCTCAACTCCACTATTGGCTCCTGGCTATGGTGACAGACAGCTTCCACCACCACATTAACCTCATAATATGTTTCTAGTTGACTCAGAAAACATATAGCACAAAAACAAAAAAGAAAGCACATGGCACCCCTCCACCAAAATCACAGTGGCTCATACCTGCTATTTGTGCTGAGCATACAGAAAAGGGGATATGGAGTAATGGGGGAAAAAAATCACCCTCTTCTTCAAAGTGTGTTAATTCTATTTTCTCTTCCCATTTTTCTCCCATTCCAAGAGAAGGTCTGTATTAGGCTGATAATTTTCTTCTCATCCTTTCCCCAACTTTTTAAAAAATTTTAATTTGCTTGGGAGGCATATTTCTTTTTCATTTTTTGTTTGCTTATCCTTAAATTTTTAGATCAAGTCTAAAGTTTATGATAGAAGTTAGAGGGAAGGATGAATTTACAATTTCTTTCTTCATTTTGAATTTAAAGCCACTGAAATCACAACGGTTTGTATTTAGCACATTTAATTACAGTAATTTCTTTGCTCATTATTGCACTTTTTAAAAGAAATCATAAGAATATAAAAATTACAGGTCAATTTCTTTCACAACAGATAAAAAATAAGACCTAAGGAAAATGTTAACAATAATGACACATGGTTTATTTGCCTCTAATGATTAATAATAATTTACTTCAGAAATTTATGGTAGATTTAACAACTGAAACAAACTGATGTACTTGTCCCTGGTAGCAGAGTAACAATGATAATTATCTCGATAATTACAGGAAATCTGTTGAATTCAGTTTTTCATTTAGTACAAAAACTTGAAGCCAATTAATAGAAGAGAATTTCTTAAGTTGACCCTGTATGTCCATCAAATACGACGTCTGCTTAATGATAAAATAGTGAAAGGTCCCCTGACCTCCTTTAACATTTGTCAAACATGTTCAACATCACCACTGGGTGCATGGTCAGCAGGAAAGGAGTGAGAACACAGAAAACTGATCAGAAAGGAGACTCATGCAGATGAGCTGCGGGGTGAAGGTTACTACTCAGCTGTAGGTGGGGGCAGCCGAATGCTCAGGAGCTTGGGCGACGCAGGGTCATTGGGACTACACAGTCGCAAGGATTAAAATATGGACAAACGGCAGTAGGAAAGTAATATTTGGTGAAGGTGTAGATGGGCAAGCCATGGTTCGTGACATTATAAAAGGAGACAGTGCCAGCCTCATAGTCTAAGAAAACTCCAACGCGGCGAGGGGGCACTGTCATAGAGAGGAGCAGGGAAGTGGAAGCATCCTCATAGGCTCTATATTCATGCTTATGCTGTAACCCAATCACCCAGTATCCAGTCTGTGGTTGGTATCTCGAATAGGCATTCTGCTTGTTAGCAAACTGGCTGCCAGAGAACGCAGGTCCCATGGGATTGCTACACACTCCCAGGATCCAGGCAGTCTTCCTGGTCACGTCTACTTCCCAGTAGTATTTTCCTGAGGAGAACTGCTGAGAGCCCAGGACACTGAAGTCATGATGTTCTTCCAGACAGGAAGTCTCAGACAGCTTAGTACCCACGAATCTCACCTGTCTCCGGTTTTTCGACAGGACAAGATTTAAATTAGCCGTGTGGGGATTCATAGTCACGTCCACTGTAGGAAAAGGTACAAATATCAGCAGATGAGAATGGGCATAGGGGTCCGGTGACACAAAGAAGGGAAAGAGGAGATGGTTGGGAGGAATTGGAAGTAGGTGATAGGGGACAGGAATGTCTCAGACCTGAGAGAATGTGTGAATTTGTTTAGGGTGTGGAACATGTGAAAGGGCAGCAGACAGGTCAACACAAAGAGGCCATGGTTTCCACTCACCCCAGTAGCTCTGGACATCTGTCAGCTCTGTAAGATAAAGAGTGAAATACGGTGAACAGAACCAAGGTTCTTGGGTCTGACATCTCTCCCCTTACCAGACTGAGCAGAATGCGAGGGAATGCTGTGAACTGGTCATTTCCTCTTCCCTTAAGCATGAATGACATCTTTAGTACAACACGTCCCTCACTTTGTGTCATCCCTCCTCACCACTATTCCCAAGAGCAACTACACCCTCTATCCTCATTATTTCTTACCACTACAGTAATTCCACATCCAAACTCTTTCTTTACATCTCCTCACCTCGAAACACTCGCAGCATCTTTTTCAGATCTGGGGCTCGGAACATACTTCTCAGCTTGGTAGGGAGAGCTGGGGGGTCCCTCAGGGTCCAGAATTCACTCCTAGGGAGGACGGACATTATGAGCTCCATAATGTGACCCTGGGTTCCTCCACAATTCTGTCTCCCTCACCTCTCAGACCTATTGATGAATTTAACTTCTTAATGCCTCATGTTTCTTTGTTTTTCTGTTGTTATTTTTATAAAATGCAATGATTTTTCTTTTTCCTATTTCCTAGAGATAGTGGGGAATTGAGGAGAATATTGACTAGGTAATCCTCTGCTATCTCTAAAATAAAGATACAAAATATTTAAAATATCAGTACTGTATCAGAGGGTCCACCAGGAGGGGCTACGGATGTCAGAGCAGACAGGTAAAACCCAGGAATCTGCTCCTGTGGCTTTGGAAGTGCCCAATGCAGAGCTTCCTTCAGTCTGTGGGCTCAGGCCCTACCACCACTAGATGCCCGGCAGGAAGGCTTTTAAAACAGGATCTCAGGATTCATTGTCTTTAGGGATGTTACACCTGGAGAAACAAGATGTCCTCACCTTCAAACTGAGTGAAAATAGACTCTGTGCTTCATTGTCTATAAGGAGCCTGAAGGTGCTGGGTGTGCGGACAAATTTAGCTATCTGTCATCTTGTTGGATAAGATTCTATACTATGTGTTGGAGAAGAAAACAGCTCTAGGACCAAAACTATTTTTTTTCTTATGTCTCAGGTCTATATTTTTACTGAAACTGAGACAAATGGAAATCTGAGAGCTAAGTGCTAAGGCCTGGACTATACCAAAGCCAGTGGAGAAAGGCAAATTTAAGGCTCATGCCCCAAGAGCAAACGCTCAAACCCATGCAAACAACACAGATGGAAACTTCCCTCAATAAAATGCAGAGGCAAAGAACATCCCAGTGCATGCTGAGGTAGCTTTAACCAGGGATGAAAGCAGAGACAGAGGTTTGTGGAAAAGGAGTCATGCGACACAGAGTATGCAGGGGTCACTGACACTACAACCCTTTATTGTCAGCAACAGCACTTCTCAATGGCAGGCAATTTTACTTCCTCCCATCATTCAAATTCTCCTCTCATGGAATCTGCTCCCTTTATTTTGCGATCCCCAAATTTTCATGTGACAAGTGATTCAAGATATCACAGTACTAAATCTTCCCTCTCTGAGACTTTTTCCCCCTTCTTTCCCATTTACTCCAATACAAATCTGAGTAGGATCTTTTGTTAATCAAGAGAATCAAAAGTTGGGCATGGAAATGCATGCCTGTAATCTCAAAAACTTGGGAGGCTGAAGCAGGAGGATTGTAAATTCAAGACCAGCCTCAGCCACTTATCGAGAGAGACCCTCAGCAACTTAATGAGATCCTGTTTCAAAATGAAAAAGGTTGATTGTGTAGCTCAGTTGATGAGTGTCCCTGGGTTCAATCCCTAGTATCACAGGAGGAGGAAAGAAAATAGGGAAGAGAAAGAAAATAAAAATCACAAGGGAAACAGCTCATGTTCTCTGCACATACCTCTGCATGACATCACTCACATCCTAGAAAAGAAAAAGACAGTTTAAGCCAAGGCATAACAGGTCATGTTCTCAGCCCTAATCTACTACGTCATGATGCAAAAGGAATACAGTCACAAACGAGACAAAAACTTAGGGCAGATTGACCCTTAGTACTCATGTGAAGACATCAGAGACAAATCATTATTCCTTTATTTTTACATTATGTGTGTGTGTGTGTGTGTGTGTGTGTGTGATGTTATGTTTATACCACCTATTGTTTGCCATGCAAAATAATGTGCCTTGGGAATAATGAAGTCATGATTCCTAACCTTGAGAGACATTCTACTCTGGCTACTGCAGATGCAAACTCAGAGTCTTTTAAAAGGTTATCTTGCAAACCTTATCTTCTCTCACCTTCTACCTGACCTTTGCTGACTTCAACCATTGCCTTGATTTTTAACATACATGTATTGATGATTATCAAAATCTGTACTTCTGCTGAGGCCTCTATCATCATGCAGATTATAAATTCCAGCAAATGAGCTACTAGTACTGCAATGACTATCTTGACTCCCAGCCTCCTGAATGATACTAGCAGCCACTTAGTCCCCAAACATAGACAAAATACTGTCATAAAAGCCAGCATATATCAATCTGACATCTCCTCTTTGACCATACCAGTTCATCTCACCCCCTTGCCTTCTTTTAGCCACCTGTCAGTCACCTTCATTATTGCCACTTCCTGGCTCATTTCAGCAGAATTGACCACTTGCCTCCTATTTGACTTTCTAATTTCTGCTGTGTAGACTTGAATGACCCCAAAGACAGGGTGGAATGATAAGAAGAATGAAATGAAGCAGTGAGTGAGGAAAAGCTCCAATAAGGTGGAAAATTACTATTCCACGATTCCAATGCTAGCACCCAGGAATAAGTAAAGAAATAATTAGTTTCACCAGCAAAGGCAGAGTGAAAGGAAAGCAAGAAGGTGAACAAAAAATAAGGGGCAGCCTAAAGGTTCCAAGATAGGTCTACCTGGCCCCCACTCTTTAGTCCTACTCATCATTCCATGCAGTAACCAACTGTTTTAAGTTTCAACTCAGTTCAAGTTTCAGTCTCAGTTCAAATTCCTCCATCAAATCTTTCCAGGCTGGATACCTTGTACTCTTCCAAACCACCCACACTTAGACGAGAGACCAGCCCCAAAACCTGTTCAAATATCTGTTACTGCAACCTGCTCAATGATTCTTTCCTAGAGAAGAGAGTAAAAGCAAAGAAGGGCTGGTAATTATATATCCTCTAAGAACCTGAGCTTGGCATGCATCTTCCTGTGACTAAACTGAGCAAATTCCCAGTATAGCAACAGAGACAGGAGGTGCCTGAAAAACAGTGGTTTTCAAGTGGGGGCAGGGTTTGATATGTTCTCCCTGGAAATCTGGGGATTGAGAAACAATTGAGTATCACTGGATATAGGAGGTCTTTCCACACAATATCAAACAAACTTTTAGACCGCCCTTCATAAGTAATAAATAAAAATATAGCATTTGTTCTCTAAATTACCTTATGCTTTGTATGGAGAATCTTTGGAAAACTGGGAATGGAACCACCTTTTGACTCAGCTATCCCACTCCTTGGTCTATACCCAAAGGACTTAAAAACAGCATACTATAGGGACACAGCCACATCAATGTTTATAGCAGAACAATTCACAATAGCTGAACTGTGGAACCAAACTAGATGCCCTTCAGTAGATGAATGAATAAAGTAAATTTGGTATATATACACAATGGAATATTACTCAGCATTGAAAGAGAATAAAATCATGGCATTTGAAGGTAAATGGATGGAGTTAGAGAAGATAATGCTAAGTGAAGTTAGCCAATCCCCAAAACAAATGCCAAATGTTTTCTCTAATATAAGGAGGCTAATTTATAATGGGATTGGGGGGAGGATGGGAAGAATAGATGAACTTAGATAGAGCAGAGGGGTGGGTGAGAAAGAGAGGGGCATGGGGGTAGAAAAGATGGTGGAATGAAATGGACATCATTACCCTAAGTACATGTATGAACACACGAATGGTGTGACTCTACTTTGTGCACAACCAGAGATACGAAAAATTGTGCTCTATGTGTAATATGAATTATAATGCATTCTGCTGTCATATATAACAAAATAAAATTTAAAAATTACCTTATGCTTTGCCATTCAAAAGGGAAGAGGCACTATTGGGTCAAAGGATTTAGTTTTCCTCACCCCTACCAAGCTGTTGGTTCTGTTTCCCAGAAAAAAAGGAAAGTTGGTTTCTCTTTTTCTTGACTCTCACATTTGAGGCTCCATTAAGTCTTACCTGCAGCAGATCCATTACTGAGCCCTGGCAACGATGCTCCAGATTTGAGATAAGCTCTTCCAGTGACTGGCTCTGGTAGATCACCTCCTCCTCGGCTTTCTCTATAATGCTCAGCCCCTTCCTTTCTTCCTCCTCCAGCTTCTTCAGTTCCCGCTGCTCCTCTTTGTCCAGGATGCTTCGCAGCTGACTAAACTCTGTCTGGATCCTCTGTCTCTCGGGCTCCACCTGAGTCTTCAGTATCAAGAAAGAAAAAGGGGTTGCTGTTGGGTGAGCTGAGGGTCTCTTCCACAGGGGATGGGGAAGGCAGGTGCAGCACTGCTTTCCTGGGCCAGCCTCACTGAAACAGGAAATGCCTGCAGGTACAGATCTGTGGTAGCTATTTCTTTTTTTTCTCCATTCTGTTGTTTTCAGACCAATAGCCCCAGGATGCCTTATCTAAGCCTTTTAGATATAGACTAATTTCATAAAGGTTTAGATTTCAGGGCAGCCTCTCTAGCCTTTCCTGGTTCTGTACCAGCCTCTGCTTCCAGGGATAATAAGGTCATTAATTATTGGCCTATGACTAAATTGGCATTCCCAGGAACCCAAACTAAAATAAGAACCAGAATTATGAATTTGGGACTACTTCTAGCCCTGGTTCCTCTGCTAGGTGACTGCTTCAAAGACCTGGGTTCACTTTTGATACGTTTGTTATATAACTCCATCTGAGTCCCCCTGCACATGGGAAATGCTCTGGTCTGGAAGGGATGCAGCCAGGGATGAGGCGAAGGGAAACACTACTAGGCATAATTTCAGGAACAGACAAAACCAGGACTCCTTTGCCCTCTGCTCCTATAATACCCTTGGGAGGAATCTTTCTTGCCTTCCAGGATGCCCTCTTCTCTTTGATAAAAGCTCTTAGCTTCTCAGCTTCCTGCTGTTCTTTCCTCAACTTCTTCAGAGACTCCTGGAACATCTCCTGGAAGAAACACATCAGGGTAACAGGGTCAGTATCTAGACATGCAATAAACTAGGCAGAGATTATGCTGACCTTAGAAGGAGGCTGTCCTACCCTGGGATAAAAAATTGAGACAGCCAGATCATCTTATTATATACACAGGGTTGGAGATCAACAAGAATAGGCCAGTTATCTTTCTCCTGGGCAAAGAATCTGACCACAAAACAACTTTACTCCTTTACTTTCATTGCCAATGTACTTCCCACCTTCAATCCACTGGCTTCCTTTTTACTCCCAGCAGCTCATTCTAATCAATCTTGGGCAAGAAGGAAAAGACAAAGTCTACATTCCTGACCAGGAAGGCATTTTCTAGGCTCATCCTTTGGGTAAACCAAGGGTGAGGGTGTGGTAGACTACAAAGAAGTTAAATCAAAGTATCATGTCAAGTTAAAACTTGCCGAGGACCCTGCTCCTCCCTGTCCTCCTTCTACCCCGGGCTCCCACCTGGTACTCCTGGGCGACCTCCTCCATGAGAAATGTATGGTGGCCACGGTGTTCCTGAGAACGCTCGCAAAGCCAGCAAATTAGCTTCCCATCCTCTTTACAGAAGAGCTGGAGTTTTTCTCCATGGTGTGCACAAAGAATTACCTGCAGCTGCTTCCCTGGGCACAACACTACCTCTCTGAGCCGCTGCGCTATGTTGGCCAGGTGCCGATTAGGCCGGAGGTTCCTAGGCTGGTAGCTGGTCTGGCACACAGGACAATTGCGCTCCTTGTCCTGGCTCATCTCTGATTCCTCTCTATTCTCTGTGATGCAGGCCTGGCAGAAGCTGTGGCCACAGTCTGTGCTCACGGGTTCGGTCAGGAGCTC